GCTGGATTTGCGAGGGGGAGAGGGGTCAGGCGTGCGACGACACCAATTGCGTGATCAATGCCCATTCCGCCGCTCGAGCATTCCGGGCTGCCGCGCCGCGCAGAAGCAGGCGGGGGCGGCGGCCCTGCTGCTGCCGAGGCGCTACCGTGATTAACGGGTCATTGGGCGTCTCGTGTGAGCTCTTCAGCGTCAGAACCTCATTGGCGATATCAGACACTTCCTCATCCCTCTCTCAATGCCCCTTGAGCGTGAGCAGCTGAGTTGCACGCGCATGTAGATATTGCTGACTTGTTGCAGGAGAGTGTCGGCAAGTCAAAAGGGAAGCCAGCCATCATCATTAAAAGGGTAGCTTTCTGAAGTACGTTTCAGTGTAATTTGTTCTTCCGAGCGCCATGGGCACTGGAGTTTACCGTGTACTCCAGCTGGCACGGTGAACGCACTTTACATAGGCACATGACCCCACAGTTGCCGTTTTACATTACTGACATCTTCCCCGTTGCTCCGACGGCTGTGTCAGCCGGGTGGGGTGGGGGGTTAAATCATGTGATCGCAAATGGGGAAGCATATATTCAAGTAAAGCTCGGAAGTCTGATTCATCCGAGCGTCACCAGTAAAACGAATCTGTTCTACTACGCAAAATCTTTTTTGTTGATTCTTTCGAGGAGGAAGTGGAGGAAAAGGAGGAGGATGAAGAGGAGGAGGAAAAGGAGGAACGGGAGGAGGAGGAGGAGGAGGAGGAAGAGGAGGAGGAAGAGGATGATGATGATGATGATGATGAGGAGGAGGAGGAGGAGGAGCAGGATCAGCAGGAGGAGGAGGACGGGAACATGACAATGAGGATGGAGCAGGGAGGACGAGGAGGAGGATTATGATGATGATGGGGAGGAGGAGGAGGAGGAGGAGGAGGAGGAGGAGGAGGAGGAGGAGGAGGAGGAGGAGGAGGAGGAGGAGGAGGAGGAGGAGGAGGAGAAGGAGGACCAGTGTAAACCCACGATTCATCAACGATATTGGACGAAACCCTCCCTCCAAGCTCCTTCATCATAGGTCCCTACAAGGGTTCATGTCGAGTGATGGAAGTGACCCGCTGGGAGACGACCTTTTGAAGATCCCGACGCGTACCGGAACACCGTTACGGATCTTCATTCGGCACCATCAATCAGCTTGACTGCTGCGTCCCGACGATCCTGAATCGCACCAGATCGCCGTTTCTGTTCAACATCGCGAATCAACGCAACCTGTTCGGCCCTGACAATCCTGAATCGTTCCAACACGCCGATTCTGGTACGTTAACAACGGGAGCCCGTGGAAATCTTATCGAAGACGATTACGGCGAATCGCCGCCGCCCCTTGCCTTTTGGAATTGTCCGAGAAGCTCATCGGGCGTTCCGGCAAGCGTCTTGGGCATCCCGAAAAGCTTCTATGGCGTTCCGACAGGCCTCTTGGGCATGTTGTGCGGCCCCTTGGGCCTTTCGAGTGGCCTCTGGGGCCTTCCCACGGGCCTCTTGGGGCTCCAGAGATGCCTCTTGAGTTTGCTCGACGGGCCCTGTGGGCCCTCCGACAGGCCCTCTTTGGGCCTCTTCAGGGGCCTCTGGGGCCTTTTGAGAGGCGGCTCGGGCCCTTCGACATGCTTCTGGGGCCTCCCGACAGGCTCCTCGGGCCCTCCGACAAGCCTTCTCCTGGGCCTCCCGAGAGAAGCTTCTTGGGGCTTTCGACAGGCGGGTTTGGCCTCCAGAGTGGCTTCTTGGGCCTTTCGGCAGCCCTTTTGTTGGGGCCCTTGGACAAGCCTCTGGGGCCCTTCGACACGCCTTGTGGGCCCTCTCGGGAGGACTGTGTCGTCAACGTGGGCCCCATCTGGGCATGCGAAGCTTTTTCGGGCCGAGTGGAACCGGAAGCGTTGTTGCCACTGGTGGTCCCCGTCGTCAAAGCATTCATTCATGGCGTGCGGTTCAGCTCGACGAAGCCTTTGTCAGAATCCCAATCGGACCCCAATAGAGAGGAGTCATAATTCCATTCGAGAGGAACTCTATGCCATTCCAGCAGGATCGCCCTATCTCATATTAGGAACCTAGTGTGATTGCAACTGGAAGGATATGAGTTCAATTCGAATAGGACCACTACTATGAGGATGGCGGTATATAGAACCCCAGAAGGGTTCAATCCCCAGGTGATTACCTTAAGGACTCGCGCGGGCACTCAGAGCTCGAGAGTCTCCTTTGCTTTTGACATGTGATTCGGGTGGATGCTGGGGATTGAAGCCTTCTGCTGGGAATTGAACCCTTCTGCCGGTGACTGAACTCATCGCGTCTTGAAAATATGCTTGGTGATTTTTTGGCCGTCTTGGGCGATCATCACCCAAGGGACGACAAATTCAAAGTCACACAACAACCCATTGGAAATCAACGGTTTTTGCCTCTTCGGGGTCTCCTGGAGGACCTCTTAAAGCACTCTTGGATGCCTCCTGGGGCCTCTTGCCACTTCTTGGACAATCTTTGGTGGCTCTTGGCCCGTCTGACGCCTTCGGAGGCCGTCTTGAGGGCTTCTCTAGGCTGTCTTAGCGCACTCTTGCAGCGCTTCAGGGCTGCCTCAGGGCCCACTTGGGAGCCTCTTCGGCGATGCTGAGGTCCTCTTGGGCCGATTCGGGGCCTCTTGGGAGCTTCGCGGGCCGTCTTGTAGCTATTTTCGCGGCGTTTGGGGCCGTCTTGGACGATCGGAGGCCCAAACAGGCGAGAATTGCAAAATCCAACAAAAGCCAAACGGATGCCTGCCTCCTCGGGTTCTCTTGGAGAGCCTTTTGGGGCCCTCGTGGGCGGTCTTGAGAGCTTCTTTGGCTGTCTTGCTGCCCCTCTTGAGCAGTCTTGGGCTATCTTGAGCCTTTCTCGTTTCGTCTTGGCTACTCCGAGCTTCTCAATCAGCGTCGCGGGGGCGTCACCCCCGCCGACAGCCCCACCTCGACCCCAAATGCGGGCAGCCACCGCGCGCCGAAGGTGCTCCGACCACCGTCGCGGCGTGCAGGCCCCAGGGCTCCGCCACCCCGAGCACGTGGCCGCTTGGGCGCCCGCATCGATCCAAGTTTGCCCAGGAGCGAGGCCGAAAACTTGGTGTTCAGAAGGATCAACAGCTAAAACTCCTCCTCCTCCTCCTCCTCTTCCTCCTCCTCTTCCTCCTCCTCCTCCTCCTCCTCCTCCTCCCCCTCACGCTTATTAAGAAACCCAGACTATCTTGGAAGCCGTCCTGGAGGCCGAGAAAGAGCGCCGGGGAGGGATTTTTCAGGGGTGGGGCGGTCTTCGCGTGCGCGTGCGAGCATCGGGGAGGGGGTCGGCCCTAGAGAGCATTGAGCAGCATTCCCAGAAGGACCACAGGAGCATTCCAACACGCCTCCTCCTCCTCCGCCGCCTCCTCCTCCTCCTGCTTCTCCTCCTCCTCCTCCTCCTCCTCCTCCTCCCACTCCTCCTCCTCCTCCCGCCCTAGAGAGCATTGAACAGCATTCCCAGAGGGACCACATCGGGGGCAACGATAGGGGGGGATGGGCATAGGGGGGATGCATCGACCCCCCATCGCCCATTGATCGCCGATAGGGGCCTGACTGCCCCGACCTGCCCAGGAAGGTTCGGATTCACTATCGGAGGCCTATCGCCGATCTATCGGCGATTTATCGCCGATAGGTCGAGCATCCCCCCCTATGCTAGTCCCCCCTTATCGTTGCTCCTCACCACAGGAGCATTCTAACACGCCCACTCCGTGCAGGCGCGGTGTCGGACACGAATGGTCGGTTGAATCAACGCTTGAACACATCGGCGTTGGCCTCGTGTCTACGCTTTATTCTTCCTTTCTGCTCCTCCTCTCTTGCTCCTTTTCCTTTATCTTTCCTGTCTCCATCCTGAGCTTGACGATGACCACACGTCGCGTACAGTTGACGTCCCAGCTGAAGAAGTGTTGCGACAGTGCACTTGGGTCGCTGCTTCGGCAAGGGAGGTACTGCGCTGCATAGTGCAGCATCGCAGCATCGGCCTTCATCCCTCTCGATTGGGGTTGCGGATCTGATTCGCGATCTCTCTTCATATGGCTCGTGTGCGAACTGCACGCGCGCGAGCGAAGGCTATGTTGCGTCGTGAAAAGCACAGAGCCCCGTTGGGCACACAGGGCCCCGCTGGGCTCCAGACTCGAAGCGTGAGCACGCAACCTGCTGAAACGCCCTCGTCCGCAGCTGTCTCGGCTCGGCCCAGGGCCCCGTGGCGGCGGCCCGGATGGCGGCGCGGGTGCCCCGCGAGGGGCCGCGCGACTCCGCGCGGTGGCCGCGGAGAGGCCCCGGCTCGCGTGCCCGCGCGGCCGCGGCGACGGCCCTCGCGGCACTGTGGCCGGCGGCGGCCCTCGTGGACGCGTGGCGGCGGGCGCCCGTCCGCCCGCGCGCCCGCGCCGCGCGGCGCGGGCTGGCCGCGGGCGGCTGGGCCGAGGGCTCCGACGGCGCCGCGGGCGACGGCTCGGCCGCGCTGCGGGAGGCGGCCGTGGCCGCCCTGCTGGACGACGACCCCCAGGGGGCCGTGGACATCATGCTGGAGATCGGCGCGCGCTTCTGCGCGGCCCCGGCGGGGCCGGGGGGCGGCTGGTCCGAGCAGGGGCAGGCGGAGGAGGCCGCCCCGTGCGAGCCGCTGGAGCGCACGGCGCGGGCGTGCGCGGAGGCGGTCGGCGCCGACCGGCGGCTGGCGACCGAGTGGCTGGCCGGCCTGGCGAGGGCGGGGGTCACGTCGGAGGAGCTGGGCATGCCTCTGGCCCTGCGGGAGGCATCTCAGCGGCGAGCGAGGGAGGCAAACGAGAAGGAGGAGGCCTTCTCAGAAGGCGGCAGAGCTTCTCAGAAGCCCTCCGGCCTTCTGAGAAGTTTTCTTTGCCTTCCGGGGAAGGCCCAGAACTCTTCTCAGAAGGCCGGGGAACTCAGGAGCCATCTGAGAGGGCCCGCTCTTCCTCACTTCCCCCGGGCTCGCCGCCGACCATCGTTGTCACCGAAGGGCGGCGTGGAGAGCGGGGTGCAGTGGCTGCAGGTGATGAAGAAGGCGAAGATGTCGCCCAGCGTGGGGTGCTACACCGCCATCATCGACGCCTGTGATAACAGAGGCTCTGGCGCCGCGGACAGCGACTACCAGCGGGCCTCCCAGCTCGTGGACCAGATGCTGAACTCCGGGCTGGCGCTGAACACGCAAGCCTACAATGTGGCGCTGCGGACCAAGGCCAAGGCGGCCGAGACGAGCGCCCTGGAGGCCCTGCTCGACAGGATGGAGGCCAATTACGTGATCCCCGACGACTCCTCGTACGCCTCTGTGATCCGCTCCCGCGCCGAGGCAGGCGACGCGATGAGCGCCGAGCGCTGGCTGGCCGAGATGGGGCGGCGCGGCGCGCGGCCAGGGGAGGCCGCGTACGCCGAGGTGCTGCGCGCCTGGGCGGACGTGGGCAACGACAAGGGCATCCGCAGGACCCTGGCCGCCATGTCCGACGAGGGCGTCGAGCTCAGCCCGGAGGAGGAAAACGTCGGCACGGCACGCAGCCTCTGCCAGGCCACCGCAGACATGGAAGTGTAAGGGGGGCGCGGAAATCAGCGGCGGGCCCCGCTTCCCTGGGGGAGTCGCGGATTTTTCCGCCGCCGAGCGAGGCGGCGCCGGCCGCCTTTTGGGGAGGGCGCCTCCCCCGACCCGTGGATTTGGCGACCGCGCGCCAAGTCCACGGGACCGCTAGCCCACGACTGCGCGCCCCCGGCTCTGGGAGGTCCGTGCGGGCTTCTCGGGTCCGCGGCGGGCGCCCCACCGGTCGTGCTCCCCGCTCGCGGGGCGTGGGCGGTCCAGCTCCGACCCCAGGAGTCGGCGCGGACCGCCGAGGGGTTCCGTCCGTGCGGGCATTTTTCTCTTCCAGCAGCACCCGCTGCTACAACGCCGTCATCGGTGCCTTCTGCAGGAGGGGCGACCTCCAGGGCGCGGTGGACCTCTTCGAGCTCATGGCCGAGAAGGGGTGCGACCACGACAGGGGCACGTACACGGCGATCATCCAGGCCATAGCAAAGACTGGCAACGTCAAGGAAGCCCAGCGCTGGATCCAGCTGATGGCGGAGAGCGGCATCGCCCCCGATGCCTTCGTCTACACTCTGCTGGCCGGCGCGCTGGCCAAGCAGGGCCGGCCCGACGATGTGGAGGTGGTCATGCAGGCCATGCGGGCGGAGGGACTGCAGCCCACCGCCGCGACCTGGACGTGGCTGATCGTCTCCACGGGCGTGGACCTGGGCGGCGCGTCTTCGAAGAAGACGCCCGAGGCCGTCTTTCGAGACATGGTGGCGGCGGGCGTGGCGCCCACGGCGTTCACGCGCAGCGCCCTGGACCGCCAGCTCCCGGACGGCGCCGCACAGCGGAAGAGGCTGTTCGCGGAGCTGGGCGTCGCCGACCCGGCCGACGACCCGTACGCGGCCAGGCACGCGGTCAAGCCTCTGGCCGTGAAGAGCGTCCAGAGGCGGCGGTCGGAGGTCAGGGCCCAGCTGAGGAGCATTGATCGTCGGCGCACCATGAAGGCGAAGGTGGCGGCGACCAGGCGCATAATGATGGAGGTGGACAGGGTCGAGGTCACTCCCAAGAAGGTCGGGGGCGGACAACCCCCCACCCTGATGCGTCGATTGGTGGACTGCCCGTGCTCGGTTCTCGAGAGGGCGCCGCGGTCGTCGTTTTCCAGGCCTGCGCCCGCCGGGTTTGGGCCCGAGGGTCGTTCTCACCAAACCACGTTCTGCTAAAAGGGGGTCTGTCCATCCCCGAGAAGGGCAGCAGCCGCAAACCTAACATCGCCCCCTCCAGCGGCGGTTTCAAGTCGGGGCAGAGACTGAGGATAGTGCCCCGGACCCCCGCGGAGCAGCGGGATATGAAGCACGGCGTCGGAGGTTTCATTCGAGAGAGCGACAGCGGGCAGCCTAACCCTGCAGCACACCAGACCTTGCGTGATCCCGAGCCCTGGGCTGGCCAACGGTTCGGCCAACGCACGTGAGCGCATGCGGCGCGAGCGGCCGCGATGCCAGCGGCTTCCGCCACGCAGAAAAGTGTGTCTGGCGCGACGCTCATCAGGAGTACATGTGCTTTTGTAGAGGGCATTCAATGCAACTCAATGCAGTTGTAATCGAGGCAGACTGTTGCAATACAACATCGCGCAGCATAGCACCGCCCACCATGTCGTTGCGAAGCAACGCTGTGTAGCATTGCATGGCATAGCATGGGACATCACTCCACAGCTCTGCATTGCATGGCACAGTGCTGGATACCGTAGTAAGGTGTAACAGGACAGCGAAACGTTGCTTCACGTTGCGTAGCGCAGCATTGCGTAGGTTCGACCCCGTTCGGAAAACCCCCGTGCGATCACGGGCGTGACCGGCCCCCTGCCCCCCCCCCTGGTCACGTCGCGGCGGTCGTCTGGTGGCGACCGCGGACGTCCTGTGGCGCTCGCAGGCTACTGTGGTGTTCAGAGGAATGTTGTTGTGCTCACAGGGACGCTGTGGCATTCGCGAGGGAAAGCGACGCTTGCGTGCGTGCCGCGTGGTGCTCTCAGGGACGCAGTGTTGTTTTGTTGCTGAGAGGCATTGGCGCGGTGGTCGGAGCGCGGCGCTCGTAGCTGCCAGCGCTGTGGTGTATACGGGCACTGAATGCGCACACGGGCATTGTGTAGTAGTGAACATTGCGGTGTTCATAGTCGCGGTGGCGTGCGCAGGCACTGCGGGCCCAAATGAAGGGGGCCGTGTCCAGGGCAAGAACAAAGGAGGACGAGGAGGAGGAGGAGGAGGAGGAGTAGGAGGAGGAGGAGGAGTAGGAGGAGGAGGAGGAGGAGGAGCACGACGACGATTCCGATGACGACGATCACGACGACGATGACGACGATCACGACTACTGCTACTACTACTGCTACTATTGCTAGTGCTTGCGCACTGCCGCCAGACCCCAGGGTCTGCGGTGCTCGCGCGTGCTGTGTTCACAGGCGTTGTGGTGTTCACAAGTGCTGTGGTGTTTTCCGGTTGTGTAGTGTGTGCAGGCGATGTGGTATTCTCAGGTGCTGTGGTGTTCGCAGGCGCTGTGTTCACAAACGGATGGTGTTCACAGGCGCTGTGGTGTTCACGGACGCTGTGCTCTTCAAAAGCGTAGTGGTGTTCACGGGCACGTCGCGTTGATCGGATCGCAAGCTACTGTGGCGCTTGTCACAGGTACGTCGTTAGTGTCGGGTCGCAGGCGATTGTTTTTCGCAGGCGTATTGTGGTGCTTACAGGCATGTCGCGGCACCCCAGGCGCACCCCCGCCGTGACGTGACCGGCGCGGCTTCCCCTCCCCGGTCACGCCCGTGACCGGCCCGAGTAACCGAATGGGCTTACGGGGGGGCTGGAAACACATATGCGGGCTGGGCCCGGTTGTGTTGCATGCTTTGGGCTTCTGCCAGTGTTTCTTTCGTCGTGCCGTGCCAAGCTTGAAAACGGTAATGCGCGATCTTGTGGCATCTTTGTTCTTCGTGGTCAGGGCATGGAATGTTTTTCCCAACCATCATGTGGAGCTGGGGGGTCATCGCTCTGAAGAGACACCGCCCCGCGTTCTTCTTCTCCTCCTCCTCCTCCTCCTCCTCCTCTTTCTCTCCTGCTCCTCCTCCCCCTCCCTTTGGCACACCCCTTACACCTTTCGTGCCCCCGCAGGTAGCTCCACCGAAGGCCCCAGTGGCTGCATTCACATGCCGCCACACCCCTCACACGTTTCGTGGCCTCATGGGGAGGTCCACCGAAGGCGCCAGTGGCTGCGTTCGCATGCCGCTACCCCCGTCACTTTGGCACACCCCTCACACGTTTCGTGGCCCCATAAGGAACTCCATCGAAGGCGCCAGTGGTTGCGTTCGCATCCCACCTTCTCATTCTGGCACGCCCTTGACGCGTTTCGTGCCCCCATAGGGAGCTCCACCGAAGGCCCCAGTGGTTGCGCTCGCATGCCGCCCCCCATCCCCTTACTTTGGTACACCCTTCACACGTTTCGTGGCCCCATGTGGAGCTCCACCGAAGGCGCCAATAGCTGCGTTCGCATGCCGCCCCCCCCCCCCCCCCCGTCACTTTGGCACCCTTCACACGCTTCGTGGGCCCGTAGGGAGCTCCACCTGAGGCTCTGGTGGCTGCGTTCGCATGCCGCCCCCCCCCTCAGTTTGGCGCACCCTTCACACGCTTCGTGGCCCCATAAGGAGCTCCACCTAAGGCCTCAGTGGCTACGCCTAGATGTCTTTCCCCGCTTCTCCTGATGCCTGTCAGCTGCAACGGGTTACATCAGTATCTTCGTGGGCGGCCCCAACGGCAGCGCCCGCATGGCGGCCCCGCCACACTTCATCTCGGCGCTCCCTTCACGCGTTTCGTGGCCCCGTTGGGAGCTCCGCCGAAGGCGATTCTCACAACCACGGTATTGACAAGTGCAGATGGTTGGGTCCTTCGGCAGGATCATCCAGAAGGGCTTCGCCCCCTGCCGCCCGCCCCCTCTCTCGGATAATGGGGTGTACAAGAGCTATGCTGTGAGGCCTGGGCGCCGTCGTGAAGCAGCGTCGGAACTCCGAACGGGGGCCACTTGGGTTCGGGTCCCCCGTCTCGGGTCACTCTTGGGGCCGTCTTGGGGCCCTTGTGGGCTGTCTTGGGGATCTTTTGAACCGTCTTGAGGCTCTCTAGAACTGTCTTGGGGCGCTTTTGAGAGCTTCTTGGGCCGTCTTGGGGCGGGCTTTGAGGGCCTCCTGGGCCGCCTTGGAGCGTCGGAAGCCAGAAAAAGCGAGCGTGTCCAAGTCCATCAACAACCTAAGGACAATCGCAGATTTCGGCCTCTCGGGCCCCTCTTGGAGATGCTCTTGGAGCACACTCTTGGGTGCCTCTTGGCCTTGGTTCGCCTTAAATATGCCCAGGACGTTTCTTTCGCGTTTCCAGCTTGGCGTCTTGGGACATTTTTTTCAGCGTTTTCAGGTCCCACTAAAAATTATAACGCTAGAACAATGATGCGTTCTTTCGTTGTGCTCAAACATTTTTAAAGTGTTTTTAGCCTGACAGCGCCAACACAACGCCACACCAACGCAACATCAACGGCCCTTAAAACACTAAAACAACGTAGCGTTTTTTTTGGGGTGTGTGTGTGGGGGGGGAAACAAAACAAAGACAAAGCGTTTTCAGCTTGTCAAGGGCCCAATGTAGAAAACGCTAACAACAACACTAACAACAACACTCAGAGGGTTTTTAAGGCGAGCCAAGCTCTTGGGAGCCTCTTGGTCCGTCTTGGGGCCATCCTGGGCGCCTTGGAGCACCCTTGGGCCGTCTCGGAGGCCTTGTACCGTCTAGGGTGCCTTGCATGAAGGATCGTGGCCTCGAAAACGTGACAATTGTGTACTTCAACCTCGGGGGCGCGAGTGTTGCGTAATTGACAATGGGTTATGGCCTCGGGGGCGCGAGCACGGTGTAATTTACGCGGGATTGCGGCTTCGGGGGCGCGGGTCTTATGTATCTTTACGTGCCCCAGGACCCCCCAGAAATTTGGAGAACCCCCCCAGGTGAAGGTAGCCAAGGCCCTTTTCGGCTTCCCCCACCCCTCGCGCGGACTTCAACAGTTCAGAGTTGGAAGCAACAAGCAGAACTGAAACATGGGAGACTTGAAACTGGAACTGGAGCAGGGATTTGCAAGCCTATCCCCGGAGCCTGGTGGCCCCACCAAGGGAGCCAGCGGATTTTTGCAGGCCCACGCGAGCGCGATGCTCCTTACTCTGACCATTCTGTCCGCAGTGATTCCGTCCCTCAGCGTTTCCAGCCTCCCTGTAGTAGAGCAGCAACGCATATCATAGCAAACCGTACCTGTGATAGCGAGCAGATCCCCTCGCCCTCATCCCCTGCTTCCGCCTCGCTCCCGCTCGCTCTCATGTGCCCGCTCTGCCCGCCACCATTTTCTCTCAAGCAGGACCTCTGGTCATTTTGGCTGCGCGGACTGTTGAACAGCGCTCACTTTCAGGAAGATATATTGCCAAGACGACGCGACCTACAGCATCGACAGAGTCGAAGGCCACCGCCTTCCTGATGCAGCTGCTGCTGCTGCTGCTCATCCTGGTCGTCAGCGACGCCAGGAATCCAAATATCCTGCTTTACTTCGCCAGCGTCTGCGACGCCAGCATATACACTTCCTTCCCGGACGTCTGCCACGCCCAGCTCGACGCCTTCCTTGCCCGACGCCTACTCCGACGCCGAGTTCGATTTCCCCATCTCCCGGAACTTTGAAAATAATCGTCAAGTTCGATTTCCCAATCTCCTTGAACACATCAGCGACGCCGCCAAGTTTGATTTCATAACCTCGCTGAACATCAGCGAAGCCGCCGAGTTCGATTTGCAAACTTCCTGAACATCAGCGAAGCCGCCGAGTTCGATTTGCAAACTTCCTGATCATCAGCGAAACCGCCGTGCTCGATTTCACCAGTTCTTTGAATTCCAGCAAAGCCCTTAAAGTATATTTCGCGATTTGTCAGCAGTTCACTTTTGTCAAGATGGTGGAAAGCAAGACGAGCAACAGCAACAACAACAACTACTAGTAACTACTACTTCTACTCCCAGTCAATCATTCCTGCCTGGAACGGTGGCTTTGCCAAGTGGAGGTGAAGTTGTGGAATCTCAGCGAAGATTTAGAAATTACCCGCAACGAAGACTTAGAAGTTACCCAAAGCCTCGCGTCCAAGCTCGTGCTCGAGCTCAGCGGAGCGGCAAGAAGTGCAGCCCTC